CCATATCTTCATATCAAGTCATGGATAGTCAGAATGAGGACATACACTCGCAAATAAAATTAACTTAATTGTCTTATGCAGTCATCTAAACAATGTCAATACAAGTCAGATAACAATATGTCAATCTACTAAAAGAAAATAACATATTTTGGCCCCATGAACTACATGCTAGGAAAGGAAAATCTTGTTTATGTGACTTGGTAGTTAAATCCAGCAAGGACTCCTGCCGCTTCACAACCATTACTTGAATGATTCAGGATGCTACATTGAAGACTGAAGGGAACAATTATCAATTACCACAAATGCTATGAAATAAAACTATTCAAAACATATTCTGTGGAAGTGTTACTGCCGGTCTGTAATCATGATCTTCTCCACTTCACATGATCAGATAGGATAAAGAGTCGTCCTTAACAAAGATCCAGAAAGGGAATGCTATCCAATTAACTCAAAACTAATAAAAAGACTGACACTTGTGTAAATGGGCAGACGAGTAAAAAAGCACTTGCATTAATAAACAAATCAAAAAAAAATCAGTTCTTGATGATAACAACATTATTCAGTCGGCCACTCATTAAAAACAGACACTTGACATGAATAATGTAATACACATGTATGATGTTCCATCCTGACAGAACAAATAAATTATGTCTCCACCGCCACGGGATCTTGAAAAAGTCACAATCTTTAGTTCAAATTCACAAAGCTAAGTAAGGATTACAGTAACATTCAATCAGACATCCAATTCAGTGAAAGTAATCGTCATGAATTCTAGGGCTAAATCAACATAAACGGAAAAAAAAATATTAGATGCGACCAATAAAATTCAAGTGAAAACAATTCACGGTGAAGAAAGCATCGATTGAAGTAGAAGATAGGAAATAGAATTGAAGACTTACAACTATGAGTTTGAAGAGGTTGGCCTCTTTTGGAGGAAGTGAAGCCCCCATTGTTGCAGAGCGGAGATTGTTGAGATATAGAGCGAATCGAGTGAAAGATCGATAGATTGGAAGTGAAAAAAGTGAGGGCTTTGTATTTAAGGGCTGCGATAGAGAAGAAATACCATAGGAATGGTGGCTTTTATCTGCTGCAACCCTACTCAGAGTAAGGAATTTAGGCAAGTTGAAGCTGTGGGAACCTCGGCGTGGGTCTTTCGGTAATTTCTCTTAATTCTTCAGAAATTTACATAAATCTTTATTCTTTCTTCCTCCGATCGATTTTTAATTTATTTATTTTTTTGTAAAAGCGGTCGATCGATTAGTAGTGTGATTATAATTTTAAATAATTAATTTTGAAATAAAATAATATTTTATATTTATAGGCAAATGTCTCTATTCTTGTGTAGAGATAAGGTCTATATATATTTTATCCTTAATTTCACTTGTGAATTTTTCGGGTATATTGTACTTCTTCTTCTTCCTCTTAAATTGCTCTTTCAACAATAACAACATATTCAATGTGGTTCAACAAGTAAGATCTGGAAAAGATAAATGTATGCAAATCTTACTCTTGCCTTGTATAAGGTAAATATGTTATTTATGATAGAACATCAACCCAAAAAAAAATGTTTTCAAAGACAAATTGACAAATACATAATGAAAGTTATGAAGAAGTGTGTTCTCGTGAAGTTTTTTTAAAACAAAAATCAAAACAACTATCTTCAATCTACCAAGTTTGCATATCCAATTTCAACTCCGATATATATATATATATATATATATATATATATATAAACCAAAAAATGTATCTTTAAATCAATTATATCGAGTCAACAAAATTACAAAATTTCTATGATTTGGGATAGATATATTATTACCCATAAAATATATAATTAAAAAAATATAATACGTTTAACATTTTAGCTAGTTCCTTTTCTTTTTTTTTGTATGTGATGCTTCTTCTTCGACGGTGTTGTAGCCAGGAATTTAATGAAGAGTGTCCAAACTTTTAATAGTATTTTAAAAAAAACGACGATTTAAATTATCAAAACAAATAATTAAGTTAAATATAGGAATATTTTTAATAGAATTACAAGTGTATAATTCAAAACTAACATGAAGAAAATAAACTACTATTGAAAACATAATTTAAATATATTATTACAATTATACTCGACGAGGTTTCATATCCTGGAACGTTTTTATAATAGACTCATTAGAAATAGTACGAAATACTTTCTTTTCTACATAAGGCACTATACAACCGTCTAAAAACTCATCATCCATTCGATTTTTAGAGTATTTAAATCAATGCTTTGTTTTTGAGAAGAATGTGACAACATCTCTAATTGATCTACCGTTGTTTCTTTATTTGGTTGACTTAGAGAAGTCAAACTTTTTTGGTACTCTATTATAATAATTTCTCATGTGTATTGAAACTAAAATATTAAGTTGGTTATTTTTGTTATAAAATAAGAGAACGAGAAGAAAAAACAGAGAGAGAATTGTTGAGATTCTATTCTTAATAATATTGTGATATAATTTGGGTAAATGAGTTTCCTTTTTATAGAGAAAGAAAACATTATCCCGTAAGGGAAAAGTTTTAAAATTTAAGGAAATCTTATTCCATAAGGAAAAGGTATTAAAATTTAAGGAAATAATTAAATTTTAATTGAAAAAAATCCACAAGAAAAAGTATTAAATTCAAGGAAATCTTATCCTACAAGGAAAATGTATTAAAATTTAAGGAAATAGTTTAATTTTAATTGAAAAAAAATAGTTAGTAAAGGAGGAATTCGAACTTGGGTCTTGGAGACCTTCATGATACTATTAACCACCAAGCTATTGAACTTTTATGTTAAAATTATGCATGTTTATTTACTTAATTGAATTCAAGAAATCAAAATAATTACAAAAAAAATACAACCCTGCGGAGAATCGAACCGGGACAAAAAGTAGGATTGCACAGGCTATTGCCAACTCCACTGCGCATCACTTTGTTATTTCAGGGGGTCCAAATTCTATATATACCAATATAAAGTCAAAATTTTACGTGTATATATAGTATAATTTTTCGATGAAGGATGTCCAATTGGATACCCTGGAGCCTACGTGGCTCCGCCCCTGATTGTAGCAATAGCTTTAGTTGAATACCTACCATGACACTATGGAAAAAAAGATTGAAAATTATTTTTCGCATGATGCATCACTAAATTTAGTGAAATACACTATATAACCCCCCCCCCCCCTGCATGAGATAATTTCAACAATAAGAATATTAATACTAGAATAAATTAGGATTATTATGTGAACAAACCAATGATCACAACAAAATAATTTCCTTTAGTACTTTTTAGGAAAAGTTTAAGAATTGTCCGATGCTAGAAGTTTGGTTAAAATGAGTTGCAATAAATGACAATCTAATACTCCCTCCGTTCCTAATTACTTGTCCACTTTTGAATCGACACACCTATTAAGAAATTAATTAATGATATAGTGAGTTTACCATTTTACCCCTATTAATTATGAAGAGGATGAAAAGTTCTGCATTTTTTAAAGTAATTATTCATTTAATTGAGGATATAATAGGTAAAAAAAATTATCCTTTCTTGATTTGTCAAAATGGATAAGTAATTAGGGACAACTATAAAAGAAAAAGTGGACAAGTAATTAGGGACAGAGGGAGTAAATGACACTCTTAAATTATACTCCCTCAATTTCAAATTAATTGAATTATTGAGTCATTTTTCATTTTTTAAATTAACTTAATTGTCCAATTTTCAAGATTACTTTTAGAATATTTTTCCAATTTCACCCTTCATTTGTTAGTATTGAAATTAGTTATTAATTAATGTTTAGTTATTTTAATCATAAATTTGTCAATAATTAATAAGGATAAAAATGGAAAGTTATGTCAAATTTATGTCTGAATTTTCTTTTCTTAAAGAATATGAAACCCCTCAATAATTTAATTAATTTGAAACGAAGCGGTAAACTTTTAACTATTCCAACTAGCACAATAGCTTGCCACATGGCTAAATAATTAATTCTTCTCACTCTATTCTGCATAGTTTTCATCACAATAATAAAAAATTAATGTTACATATTGTACCAATCATTCATCGTCTTTGATCCTCTAAAATTTTGGTCCGACAATAGTTGTTTACTATTGATTTGACATATTTCTTAAAAAAATATAAATTAAAGGTAATTTTATTATATTACCATTTGAATATAATAAATACAATGTCTTAAAAAATGTAATAGGGATATGACTATAATAATGATAAGGGTAAATTAAGAACTAAGTGTAAAATTATCTATGAACTTCATAAAGTGGACAAGTATGGTTGGACATCTATTTTTAGTATAGTGGACAACTATTGTTGGACGGAGGGAGAATAAGTTCTCGTGACATGATTCATGATATTTGCTTCGTACAACAATAGTTGTCTATTATAGTAGTTTGGAATGTTCAACAATACTTGTTTACTTTATAAAATCAATAGTAGACAATTTTACATTTAGTTCTTAATTTACCATTATCATTAATTATAGTTATTTTTCAATTACATTTTTCAAAACGTTGTATTTATTATACGGAAAATGGCCACAAATATCTTGGATTATTAGAAAAAGTTTATATATACCCCTCATTTACCTATTGAGCTAAAAATACCCTTCAATCCACCTTTTTATTCATTTCTATCCTCAATTCTAACGGCCATTTTCTTTTAAAAAAATAATTATTATTTATTATGTGACATTTTTTTATTGGATAAAATTAATTCACAAGCCATTTAATTTTCTCCCTTCCCGCATTAATTTTAAAAAAAATCCATTTTAATCCGTCCCACACAATCTTAAACTTGTCCCACTCTTCATAACCTTAAATCCATCCCGCCTCATTGGCATTCCTCATGATGGTGATGAATACAACCAGTATCAACCGGTATAAAGATAAAATTAGAACGGAGGATTGACCAGTGGATGTTAACCATTTTGTTGGGGGCATATGTGCAAATAAAGAAGAAAAATAATTTGCGTAGGGTACCCTTCGTTTCGTCCATCGTCATTCGTTGTCGTCCCTCTCTCCCGCTCAGTCCCAATTTTCAAAATTAAATAAAGAAAAAATAATGAAAACATCCGCTTCACACAGTTGGTGTGCCCTTTCAAGTTCCTGAAACTTCCAACCCCTTATTGGAAGATGGTGAACGAAGCTCTTATCTCCGATCCGGTGGATCCTCTCCATAGCCTTGCCGGACTTTCTCTACTCCCAACAACAGTTAGGGTTTCCACCGACGCCTCTGTATCAGTTAACCCCAAAGACCTAGAGTCAATTCACAACTTCATGAAGTCCATGGTAACTTTTCCGTTTGTTTTTCTTCACTTCTTAAGATTTCTAGCTCTTTTATAGACCTTACATGTTAATTTAGAGGAGAAACAGTGTTAATGTTGTTACTATGGAGTTTTCGCTGTTCTTCGATTCTTGCACTGAACTCCAACTTACAATTAGTACAATTAAAATGGAGTCTAACTTACATAAATATTGTAGTTTGTCAGTTTTCATTTGGCTAGTTATTTGATTTTGGATGATGTTAATGACGATAATGTTGTTCTCCTTCATTATGATATTAAAAGGAAGCCAAGGGTCCTGGGCTCTTGGAGGAGGCAAGGGAAATTGTGGATAATGGTGCGGAGCTTCTGAATACCAAGTTTACGAGTTTTATACTATCTAAAGGCATTGATGGGGATCTTGCAATGAAGGGAAAGGAGAAGCTCCAGGAGAGAAGACCAGGACTGGGGCGTAAAAGGGCTCGATTTTCTCTCAAGCCTAGTACAAGGTAAATTATAGACAGTCTTTCTTTTATTCTCTAAATTAGATCCTATTGAAACTATGGCGTTAGCTTACCTTGCTATTGTTTTGCAGTCAACCTACTGTCAGCGTAGCTCCTCGTTTAGATATTGATCAACTGTCAGATCCAGTGGAATTTTTCTCAGTTGCTGAAAAGCTAGAAGGTGATTTTGTTTCTGTTGTTATCTCTTAACTATCTGCTTGCAAAGTTGATCCATCGGCAACTAAAAAAAGTATATATTATACTTAGAAAAAGAACAGTTTTAGTGTTTTACATATGGTGAATTTACAGATGCTGAGAAGGAAATAGAAAGACAGAAAGGTAGCAGTATCCATGATCCAGATGTGAATAATCCACCCGCCAATGCACGGCGTCGTCGACCAGGCATCTTGGGGTACACTTAGTTACTCTTTGTTTTTTCACATGGAAATGCCTGTCTTACCTTTATCATCCTCTCAACTCGTTGTTGCACCTTCTTAGAGTTCTCTTTTCTGTCTCAGCAAATCGGTGAAGTATAAGCACCGTTTCTCATCCACCCAGCCTGAGAATGATGATGCATTTATATCATCTCAAGAGACATTGGAGGATGATATTCTGGTGGAACATGGTTCTCAGTTGCCAGAAGAGCTTCATGGCCTCAATGTTGAACTACAAGAAGTAGAACTCACAGGTTAGTGGGTTTAACTAATCAAAATAGATACCTTCTGATTTCTAGATTATATTTTTAACTTCTCTATGAGCAGATTGTATTTCAGAAGTGATGATTGCTTTTCAATTCAACAGGGTCAATAAAGAAAACAGAAAACAGAATAAACAAGATTCTGGATGAATTACTGTCCGGTAGTGGTGAAGATCTAGATCGGGACATGGCAGTATCCACATTGCAAGAGCGGTTGCAGATCAAGCCCATTGAACTAGGCACTTTATGTATTCCTGAGTTCCCTGTGACTGGAAAGCTTGATGGTAAAGCTTTTGGAGAGAGGATTCAGAAGCCTAGGAAGTTTTCATTGGAGGTACGGGAGTTGGTTAAAAGTGCAACCGAGGGAACACCTTCCTCTCACAAACAGCATGAGGAAAGTCCTGCCAGTAAATTAGCATCACCCACTCCACCAAAAAGTCCATTTGGTTCATTGTCTTTTTTGAAAAAGAAACTTATGCAGTCAAATCCACTGAGAGATCCTTTTTCGCCTCTCAACATTGATCTGCAATCAGAGCTTCCAGATTGGTCCGTGAAGAAGAAATCACAATGTGTAAATAATAATGTTGGACCTACTGAATCTCATGGTTGTGAAAATACGAATATTATGGTCCCTTTAAGAGGTTCAGACTTAGTGCATGAGCAACTGATGGAAAAGAATCCAGGCAGAGATAGTGTAAAAACTGGGCCAAATGGATCTCGATCTGGAATGGAGCAACATAATGGTTATGATGATATTGATGTCAATACTAACGTCAACTTAAATATGAGAAATGTGGATTCCCGCCATGAGTCTGATGGGATTGACAAAGTGAAAGATGATTCAGTTATAAACAATGTTTTGAAGGATCTACAAGGTCTTGAGACCAAATCCTACATTAACTGTCAAAAGCTGCAGGATAGCGAAGTTCTTGCTGAAACACTACCTTCTCTTCAAGCCCAAGGAAATGCTGTCGATACAGCCAATTATACCATTGAAACAGTTGTTGAGGATTTTGGATCAACTGAAATTGATCAGCTGGCAAGTCTATCCACTTTTTACTATTATATGCTACATTTGATACATTATTCCAGGAGTTATAATTCCAACTCTGACATTTTTTCATTCATACGTCATTAGCAGGTTGACAATATGCTACCAGAAACAGCGCCTTCTGCAGAACAAGATCATTACTTTGAGGATTCTGTCAAAGACTTAAATAGTGGTGAGATTCTATTTTGGATGATTTTTTCATGTCAAGTCATCATTTATGAAGATGCGACATTTGAGCATTGTCTATTTCTTGCTAGATTCTTTTGTATAGATAAATTTTTGTACGTATTCAAAATAATCCGTGTCTTGTTTATGTTTAACACATCATTTGAGTTTTACCTGGAATCATCTGCAGTCAACTATTCGTTTTTTGACCCACTTGAATTTTCAACTCTTAACTGGGTGATTCATGATATTGGGAAACTGGAGATTTCTTAGGTCTGCTACAGGCTATAGATTAAGGTGTGAAGTGTTGGAATTTAGTATAGGAAGAAGTAACTGCCCATGTTTGCCAAAAATTGTACTGCAGCAGACCAATACCTTTGGTTGCTTGGAATGCTCTATCATAACTTTTCTTTCCTTTTCCTTTTCATCTCGGTTTTTTAATGGGAGGATGCATGTGATGCATCTTTATAAAAAGAGTAGATGTGTAGAGTTTTGAACTTGTAGTTGTCAAGAATCATGACTTTTGATCTTCACTTTTTTTTTTTTTTAAAAAGGTGATGATTTAATATAAAAGATGGGGATAACGCTCCATCACTGTATACCATATAGAGAACCTTACAAAAGATATGGTTCTCAGCAAAAAGGCACTCATCACTATTTATCAGGATGTTTAAAGTACTCCAAAAGTAACAAGATTTATCTAATATGTTTGAACTTCACTTCTATCTTTCGAGCATCCTGTTAGGTACTAGATATAAATTAACATGACGTAAGTTTGATACTGGTACATGCAAGTTATTGCTGTATTTTGATGTTCTATTGTGGTTAGAAGCATTAAGGTGTCAATAGTGTCACTAGCAAAGCATTAGGGATGATTAATCATTAAAGTAACCCATGTACTGATAGCATAAGATCGTATGCCACATATTGATACCTATTGCCTAGTAACAAACTCAATCCTGCTCTTCAGAGTCAGAAAGCGCTTCCACTTAACCCAGTTTATATTTGGTTACTTGCTTTACTGTCTTTTATGTATAAAGTAATCTGCTACCTCCAAATATAACCTACAGCTGCTGAAATCATTCTCACATTGATCACCTTCTCTTTTGCAATGGTTCTTTGAGCTTCTGTCACTCTTTACATTATAAAGTTGTCATAGTTACATCGTCAAGGAAATAGTCGTGGGCCATTTTCACTTTTCACCACCAAAGACTTTCACTGCAATTTAGTTGCCTGTGCATTCTGAATTTATGATGTTTTTCTTGAACAGATAGCTAGTTATTTTAGCCACTCTACTTTGCATATCTTAACTAGTAATAACTGTCTAAAGTTTGGAAAGAACTTGAGAACCTTGGGTGTCTTTATACAGATCAATTGAACTCAGTTGCAGTTGAAGTTCCTTCTAGAGACGTGAGATATAAATTTCCTGAGATGAGCCCTCAGCATCACACCCAGGTTGCCTCCTTTCTTGAATGCTCCTTTATTATTTTTTATTTATATAGCAAACTCAAAGTGCAAAGTTCTATGCTAGGTCCATTTTTCTCTGGCAAGTTAATCCTTGGATACACACACACACACTCTTTCTCCCAAAAGCAATTAATGATGGCAGGGTATAAGGGGTCAAAATACTTGCCACATACAAAAGCCTGGTATTTGAGTGGAGAAGCGAGGACACTATCCAATATCCGTAGAGTTTCAAACCATTTGCCATTGGTCAGAGTTTTTCGGATCCAAAACAATTATTGTTAAAGAGTCTACGATATCAAAGTCAGTAAAAATCGTTTGATTCTCCAATTGTAACTGTAAATTAGAAGACAGTAAAGCTGATTGCTTGTATGTAAACAAATCCGTAGATGACTAAACACTAGGATAGGGTTTGTGCAAAAACATATTGCAATTCCCAAATTTAACACCAGCATGAACTGCGTTTGATAACCATGATTATTTTATTCTCTTGAAAAAAGTGCTATGATGTCACTGATCTAAGTTGCCAAATGTTTTGATTTCTGTCTAGGGTTAGGACATTTTAAAGCTTTCTACTGAAATGACCCTCTGATATTATTGGTGTAAAATTTGACAACCAATCTGTATAAGAGACGATATTTCTGACGTGACAGTGGATATTGACTGATATTAATTGAGCACATTAGAAGTTTTAGCCCATGATGTCTCCTAATTTTGGGTTTACATGTGAATGCTTGTGCTCTTTGCAGTTGGATTTCTTTACCTGTATTGGTTATACTGATTGATATGCAATATTTTTGATGCATTAGGCAAAAGATAAGCAACAGAAAGCAAAGAAACTTGCTGTTGGAAGGCGTGAAAGAAAACATCTTTCTTCTAGGCCAAGTCTAGCAGGTTTTTACTCTTGCGCCTATGGGGATGTCTTTATTTGAAGTCTTTCATTTGTGTTTCTGATAAAGAATTTCATGAATTTGACAGATGCTGGTACATCATTTGAAAGTGGGGTTAGACGAAGCAAACGAATGAAGACAAGGCCTTTGGAATATTGGAAAGGCGAAAGATTATTATATGGACGGGTTGATGAGGGTGAGTATTGTCTTGTAAATTCTTGTGTTGTTGCTTTGCTGGGTTTCCGTTCTTCAGTTTGGATTCATTTGTTAGACTTCGGTGATACGGTAATAATTTATTTTGATCCTCAAATCTAGTTTTTTTTTTTTTTGGCGTGTGCGTGTGAGAGAGAGAGATGTGTGAAACTAGGTCACAACATGCTAGACATTATACTTATAGTCTTGGGAAGGTAACTACTCACGGAGATTTTCTTGTCCTTTAGATGGGATGTTTATCAAACTATACGACCTAATATTGGAGAGGTTGTTGGTAACATATGCACATTTTGCATAGAACTCTTCAAGACAGGGAAAGAAAATATTAGGGACGGCTTAGCTATTAGAGAAACATGGTAACTAGATTACTTGCATGTCTGCTAAGAGAGTGCAAGTTAGAGTATCAGAATCTAGTTTTCAGGGATTTGTTTCGTACTTGGTCAAGTCTCTTCCAGCAGGAGATTAACTTAGTTAAGGCTCTCCTAGTTGGTGACTTACTAGCTCAGAATACTCTTTAGAACTTGAATTACAGGAAATTAGGTAATTTGATCCTCAATATTTCCGTGCTTGAAAATCATCACCGAGATAATGTAGTAGACTTATTTCCTATATCAGCCAACATGCTGAATTCCATAAATTGTCCGCACAAATTTGAAGTAATTTTTGAAAACTAATCATTTCAGTTTTGGATTTTTCATTTTAGGGATGTCTTTAGTTACTTTGGCAAGTTTATTCTAGTTGAGCACTCTCTTCTAGAAAGTAGAAACTTGAGCCATAGGACTTAGGTAATTTAACCCATCATATTTTCTTGCTTGAAAATTATCATTGAGATAATATATCAGACGTAGTTCATATACCAGCCAACTTGCTGAATTCCATAAATGGTCAACAAAAATTGAAGTAATTCGAAAGTGATTGTTTCAGTGCAGAAGCTAATTGCAGCCAACATTGAGTAGCAGCTTTTGGATATTACTTCTATTGTGACTTGCAATTCAATAAATCAAAGCATATGCTAAACACAATGAACATATCTTTTTGACTGGTTGTTTCGTTGTTTAATCTGTGGAGAAAACAACAGATTTAGTGTATCTGTGTGTTCTGTTGCAGGTTTGAAGCTTGTTGGCTTGAAATACATCTCTCCAGGAAAGGGATCATTTAAGGTGAAGTCTTACATCCCTGATGACTACAAAGACCTAGTTGATTTAGCAGCTCGCTATTGATTTTCTAACAGCATTGGTGGATGGGCTAGCTTTCTGGATCTTGTCCCATGCTTCAGTTTTAAATACAAATGTAGCCATTGTATGTAATGTACCCGAGGTAGATTTATAACATTGTGAACCTTGATTTATCATCTTTAATTTGTTGAGCGCTGTTGGTCCATCTATTGATTATCCCAAGAGCAAATGACTCCACAGTGCTTCAGACACTTTTGTTGACTTGTTAATGTTAATTGAGGAAACTACGAGGCCAACCTGTAATAGCAAAGGGCTCTGTTTTGTTTCTATGTTACTTTATCATATTTGTTAGTTGTTAATGTCGTCTATTTAGGAAATAGAAGGCTCATTATAAATATGAATCACCCATTAGACTCTGGAGCCAAATGGCCACTTTTCCAAGCAAAAATGCACAAAGGGATCCGAAGATAGACCAAAACGGCCAAATCGATAGTGTGTCCCTTTGTGCATATTTGCTATGGAAAAGTGGCCCTTTTGGCTCCAGACTCCCTCTATTACTCCAATGGCCAGAATAGTGCTGTCAGCAACAAATTATAAAAGTTTTTACTAAGTTTATCTAGTATGTCAACTAAGTTTCGTCATGACAAATTTTAGAATATATTCCCACTGTAAACTTATTAGTTAAAAAGTATCCGAATGTCTTTTTGTTCCTTGTTTTTGGCCACTAAAGAATGAAATATAAGAGAAATGCTTTGATGTCTTTATCGTCCCTTGTCCATTTTGGGGTGTGCCAAACATCTCCAAATTCAAGATTGTTATCAAATATAATAAATTTAAGAAATAATATATAATGTTATGTTTAATCTAAAGAAGGCTTGCTCTTCATTTTTTTTTTAAAAAAAAATTATAAGCTCATCTAGATTTGTCAGCACAATGATTTTTCCAAAATAAAATAAAATCGAGGAGTTGCAATCACCAAGGGGGTAAGCATTAGAGCTAAAATCCAGAGTAAAAAAACTACAAAATATTACATGAAAATTAGTTTACTCTACTCAAGATGGAGTATTAGTATTAATAATAAAACTAACTGGTTCTCATTTTTTTTTCTTTGAATTTGAATATGAACCATTGCTAAGGAGAAATCTTAGTAGCTCAGTTGGTTGACTATCTAAACTCCCATCTAAGGGCTGAATTTTCGTTTATAAAGAATGTTACCTTTTATATTTAGTCGTAAACCTTTGGTTTTCATCAAAAGGAATGTTTCTATGAAAAAGAAAAAGTCTAGAATTAATGAAATGAAATTTCTAATCATTTAAAGAATTTTGAACGTCTCTTTACATATTTCGTGAGGAAAGTTGCTGTCCTTTTCTTCGTTGCTTCTTAACCTGGAGGAAGACTATATATATAAAAAGATCAATTCAATAAGACTATATATATAAAAAGATCAATTCAATATAATGATGTTCAATATCCAATTTTTTTTTTATGATCGTGCACTTTGAGTAATTTCAAGAATACTTCCCACCAGCAACATGTATCAGGTAACTCAAGAATCACTCAATGTTTTTTATCTCCGCTAGTACCATTATGCCACACCCTAAAATACTTCAGCGTACAATTTATGTTTAAGAAGAAATCGTCTAGTAATTATTAAACCAATCAATGTACTATTAATATAAAATATGTTTAACTTATTAAATTTGCAAGTAGAATTATTGTACAATATTTATTTGTACTATATATTCTTACATGAAACATGCTTTAATTAGCGTCCTTGAAGGAAAAGACATGATTATTTGAACGATAATATAAAATATGAGTTATGGCCCATGGGTTACTATACATGACGCACATACATATTTTTCTGTTTTTTTTTAAAAAAATATTTACTCTTTTTTTTTTGTTTTTTCTTTTACGTGTATACACAAATAGACATTTTGTGAATTTAATTATTTCCTTCTCATTTGTTTCTTTATATGCTCTGCAATTATTTAAGTTCGTATCAACAAAATAGAGCCATCACTGCATATATATAATTAGCTATATGAAGATATCCAAGTATTAAAACATTAACAAAGAAAACTCTAGATAAACTTAATTTACGGTTTCTGTATTTGTCTTTTACTATCATATACTTCGATTTTAAAATCACATGTTATTTATTTTACTTCAGTTATCATATTTATTAGGTGGAGTGTTAACATGTTGCCCTAGATCTGATATATTTAGTGGGATATGCTGAATTTTTTGCAAGCAATATTAATATTAATTTAAAGAAGTGAACAAATTAATAGATCACTGTAATAATAAGCAATGTCACATCTTATATTTATACACAATATTGTAATTTTACTTATTATATATAATTTATCATAATTAAGTGTTTAAGTGAAATGAATATACTTGCATGATTATTTATAAAAAAATTGTCATTATATTTTATTGACATTCGAGCTAAATTTTGTTTCAACTTTATTTTAAATACGTGTTTTTATTTATCTATTACAAAATTAAATTAATCATATAAAATCTATTATCTGCTTTAATTATATGCATTTTCCTCAATAAATCCGATAAAAATAAACCGACCTCGTTAATATCTCTATCTTGGATACTGGGACGACATTGTTTCCTGTTTTTTTGGCCCTTCTTGTGGCGTAACCAATAATCCCCCTATCCCCTATCCCCTATCCCCCATCCCCCAACTCCAAAACCTTCTTTTAATTCTTATTGTTTATGGTTCCACTCGGTTACTTTCTCCGTTTCTTTTTATATGTCATCCTTATTATAAATAATAATTGGTTTATAATACTTATCATTTTATAAAATCAATGCATGTATTATAAATTTTTTTTCTATACCTTTGATAGTTAATTAGTCTTGAAAATAGATATTTGATCAATTTAAAAAAACTAATAAGTAATTAATATTTATTATAATTACTTTATACATTAATTAGGTACTCTCACCATTGCACTACTACTCTGTAAAATCTGATGTTGTCATGTTTTTCTTTGTCGAAGTAGAAGTAAAATTCTTCTCAGGCTCTTTGCAGTCATATCTGCAATTATATTAAGATAAGAAATTTTTTACTTAATTTTATTATAAATAACATCAGATTTAGTAGGAATAGTTAGATCAATTTGAAGTAATGAAACTGATGTTGTCATGTTTGCTTTAAAAATTTATAAAAATCATTTTTACACAAAATATATAGGAAATTGAGGTGGAAAAAAATTAATTTCTACAAATTTTGGATCAACTCATATTGAAAAAATTTTGTTCCAGAAACAAACTAAAAAATTTAACTAGTCATTTAAATGTATTTCAATTTTTGAAATCTAATATATTTATCATTTATTAAAAAATTGACTTTAAAAAAACATTAAATAATGATAGAATTGTAATCTTACTTAATTTCTCAATGTAAGTTAAGTCTAAAAAAATGTGACATATAAAAAGAAACGAATGAAGTATTTTTTTCAATGTCTCCTTCTTCTTCCTACTTGAATTTGTTACACTTCATGTGTGATTTGTTGCATTTGAGCAAAAAGTTATTCGGAAATCACCTCTTTATCTTCATAAAATAGTCCGGGTATATTGGTGGTCCCACAAGAGCACCAAAAACCTATAATTTGTCACGATTCTGAATCGTCAATGAATATTTATGCATGCGATTAGAAAGAGGAATAATATTTGTGTTCTCCTATCTTCTTCTTTATCTCTCTATATATACACACACACTCTATCCCAATTTGTTAATTTCTTCTATCTTTTCTTCATGGATCTTCTTCCGGGTCTTCCTAATGATATTGCTCTTGAATGTCTAATTCGTCTTCCTCTCCATCAATTCTCTAAAGCTGCTTCTGTATGCACCAACTGGAAAACCGAGATCAAGCATCCCCTGTTTCGACAACGTCGGAAAGAATCGGGTCTTACCCGACCCGTTTTCGTATTAGCCCAAGCCATGGTTACTACCATTCGAAAACCTTATGGCATTACCAGCCTTTCATCTACTCAGTTCTATAGACTCACCCTTTATGATCCGGAAAGGGGATGTTGGTACGATTTGCCGCCGATACCGGAGTTAATTGATGGATTGCCCATGTTTTGCCGGGTTGTAGGAGTCGGGTCGGATGTAATGGTGATAGGCGGGTGTGACCCGGTTAATTGGAGGGTTATGGACTCTGTTTTCATCTACAATTTCGTATCCGGTTCGTGGCGTCGTGGGGCGGATATGCCGGGAGGACAGAGGCTTTTTTTTGGATGTGCGTCGGATTCGGAGAGATTTGTGGTTGTCGCCGGCGGACATAACGACGAGAAGAATGCGCTGAGATCGGCTCTGTTGTACGACGTGGCGGAAGATGAGTGGATTACGCTGCCGGAAATGGCCTTTGAGCGTGACGAGTGCAAGTGCGCATTTCACCGCGGTGAATTCCACGTCATCGGAGGCTATCCTACGCATGCACAAGGTCAATTCCAGCGCAGCGCTGAGGTGTTCAACTCCGCCACATCCCGGCAGTGGCACCTGGAGGAGGACTTCCTGGGTGCCGACACGTGTCCCCAGACCTGCATAGAAGGCGACGACGGGAGACTATACATGTGCCGAGACGGTGCCGTGGTCGTAAAGATTGACGCCACGTGGAAACACGTGGCGAAACTGCCAGGTGGAGTATCCAACGGGGCGTATCTGACAGCGTGGCAGGGGAAGTTGTTAGCAGTGGGAAATTCAATATTAGATGAAATTCAGAGTAGTTATGAACTTGATGTGAATAGTGAGAGTAAAGAGAAGACATGGAGAAAATTGGATACTCCAAATGAATACTGTGGACATGTTCAATCAGTTTGTTGTTTAGAGATATGAATCTGTCAAAAAGAATAGTACTATGAACTTTGCTTGTTTAGCATCTTTTTTTTTTGGATTTTCTTATGTCAGGAAATCACATGTAAGTAGTACCAGATGAAGCTGTTTCTCCGTCTTGATTTTGAATTTTGAATAAGCTGAATAGGATGTAGGTGGTGTGAATTTGAATTAGTTCGACTTGAATGTGAATTTCGAATACCAGAATGAAAAACAAAACAAAAAAGAGGTGATTTTGTACATAGTTGATTCTTCTTTTATCTACTAGTTATGTTTTCTGTTACATTACGTATGTCAGCTGGCAAGAGTTTGTTGTTTATTTTTGGATTTTCAGCCGAAGTTACGTTTTCCTTAACTATTTAAGGCATATATATAGTTGAGTTTTATAAATTTAGCCACTTCAAAAATTAATTTCTTACTTACGAGATTAAAGTTAAAAAATATTTGGATATAAAGTTTGTTACAAACTATTTGAAAGCAAGAAAAAAGCTTTGGTTGGAATCAACAATTTATTATTGTTTAGAAGAAGAAGCTAGCAGAGGAAGAGTGTGTAAAGTTTGTCAATATTGGTTATAAATAATTTAAATAGTAGGGAAAAAAATAATTATCTTCATCGTTTGATTTTAAATTTTAAAATTAAATTATTTCTACTTATAATAAGGTGATTTTATTTTTTAACAAAGGGAGTATAAGATGTTATTTCAACAAAATGATTGTAGCCCTTGGGCCTACATATTGTCATTTGATTGACAATATTTGTGGTCATTGTCAGCATCTTGACTTGTAAATTACTTGTATTTAATCAGTGATTACAACATAATTTATCATCTAACAATCTTCTAGAATTTGTCTGTAATTATATATTAACCAATATGTTAGGCCGATTTCTTACATCTTTAGCTAATATCTTATTGGCATATTATTGTACAATGAAATGATGGAATTTATTAGTACTACTAGATCCTTCTCCAATACTTATCTCAACTATGCAATGTATGAAATTTTGCGAGTTTATCGAATTTTTAATATTTTTAATACTATTTCTATTATGTTTTAGTACTATTTATGTAATTTTTAAATAATATATGTTACTCACTCAATTCTAATTATGCAATACATGTGAAGTTTTGAGAGCTAACCAAATTTTTAATATTTTAAATTGATTTTATTACTATTTTTATAGTAATTAGAGGAAGTTAAAGGAGACAAAATATTGTAATTTTAATATTATTGTAATTTAAAAAGTAATTTTTTTCGTAATTAAAGTATATAACAATTAAATATGAAAGTAAGACAAATAAATTGAAACAAAACTACTCATTCATTATACAAATAGTGAAAATGATTGGAATACAAACATTCCACAAAATAATTACTATGTGAGGAGCTTGGGAAATGACTAAGCTGCTAGCTTGACCCCAAGCTCCTCACATTCTCATTTATATTATAGAGTAATACTTGAAAATGGAAAGGTTTAAATAATTACGTGTAGAGAGTTGACTTTATACAAAGATACACACTCTTGAGGGGTGGGGTGTCCAATTACACAATATACATATCCACAACTATCTATTTAATGTCTTAATTAAAACATTGACAAAACTAGGATTTTAAATATTAAAAACAAATAAATCTCATACTTTTAGACGTTGATTTGCTTATTTCACGTTATGTATAATATGTCTACCTATATTAGGTACGTAATAAATGTTGTTGAATTTCTCAATCTTCTAACTAAAAGTTTTTACATTTAATTGGGCTAACCCATCTGTGGCCTCCTAAATTTGGCATGATCTTTCACTTAGACACCTTAACTAGGCTTTGTTCATTTTAGACACCTCATGTCAGGTTCCGTTGTGTTATTTTGACACTTTTTTCACTAGCACATGTTGACTTCAAGTGCGTGTTAACCAAGCGTGTCCATGTGGATTAGATGCCCAATTATATCATGCCAACTCATTAAAAGACTATCATATTAAAGAGGAAAAATAAGAATTAAAATACATGACAAAGTAACCAATGAATAAATGACATGTGGTCTTTTTATCCCAAAAAATTAAATTAAATATTTGACAAATTTAAAGAAAAATGCAACCTCCACAACATCCCCAGTCATCTTCTCCATTGTATTGCTCCATTTTTATTATTTTTGAGTTTTATTCTTTCTGTCATAACCCCACACCCACACAATCTACTCTATCATATTCCTTCATTTTCATTACCTTTTCCGTCACACCCATAACCACACAGCCATCTTCTCCGTTTTATTCCTCTTTTTCATGATTTTTTTCTGCCATATTCCTCATTTATTGCACCCTCCCTTAGGGCTAAAAGGTGCAAATGTATAACAACAATGGTTCATATTTTAAAGATTGCGTCTCTTTTTCTTTAATTTTGTGATATTTGCAGTTTAATTAGGGCTCAAGGTTAGTAAGATTAACATTTACATAGTAAAAATTGAGATTTTTTGGCTCCTATTTTAGGATTATTGTGGGTGAACTTTACATGATTTAGGGTGTTGTTGATACGAGTTCGATTTCTTGTTTCTTTTTGGGTCTATCTGAGTTTGTAGTGCGAAATTGAAATTGAAATTATTATAACAAAAAATTTAACCTCCATTGAAGTACTTTAAGCTTTGAGAAATAATGGGAGAGATAATGACTATAAAATGGGAAAGAAGAAGAGAAAAAATAAAATAAAATAGACTAAATAAGTCCCTCACGCATCAATAGCGAGTGTATAACACTCACTTTGCCATGTCAGCTGAAAGTGTCAAAATGACACAACGGAGCCTGACATGAGGTGTCTAAAATGAACAAAGCCTAGTTAAGGTGTCTAAGTGAAAGATCGTGTCAAATTTAGGGGGCCACCGATGGGTTAGGCCAATTTAATGATGAGAGCATAGCAATTTCTGATACTCGATAGAGTGTACTTTTCTTCAATGATCCCAATTCAATAAATGGAAAATTTTTATGGTGGATGAGATATGTCGTGTAATAATTGTATGAGAGATTTTTTTAATAGAAAAAAAAGTACATTTTGTGGTCTCATGTCTTTTCAACCTCTCCCTTTCTCTTCTCACTCCTCCACCCCACCTTCTATTTACCCCTCTCTTTAATATGAAGTACTTGATATTGTTATTTTTTAATTTTAATATATTTCATTATATAAATTTAAAATAATACAATAACAAGATCAAAGAAAAAAAAATAGTACTATATTAAAATTAGCATTTCACGATTTCTTAAAATTAATGTTTATTTTCCTTACATTTTTTATAGTTCATAATACTCATTTGCCAAAAATCAAATAGAGATAAATATATCGATACTAATTTATATTTGAAGTCAAATAATTACGTACTTAAAAAAGTTAAACTAAGATGCGTGCACTTAACCTCATAAAAAATTAACTGTTTAGTTTTAGGATAAACATAAATAGTTATTTAAATTACATTAATCAATTTGTTTTTTTTCATTTTACTCTCTCTATCATTTTATTCGATTATTTTTTTCTCAAAATTCAAGCTATAAAATGTATTTTTTTCATATGCTAACATGATAAGAATTGCAACTTATAGTATTTTTGGTTGAATTGCAACTTAGTGGGAAGGATTATTTATGAACAAACGTTATAAGTTGTATTTCTTATGTTAATATAAAAAATAAAAATATATTTTAAAATATTAATTAAATTTCACATTGCTTGATTTCAAGAATAAAAAGATATCATATAAATTGACGGAAGAGTATGTATATATTTAAGTGTTTATGAAAAAAATTCGATTTTGGGTTACATTAAGATAGTACAAAAACTTATGTAATTATTTGTCAAAATTATTGATGCTCTTTCCATTATATTTTCTTGTGAATATTTGATGAATTTAAGTATATATGAAATTATTGAAAGAGAAAAAAATAATAATTTATACCCCTTTCGTTTTTCGTATTAGTTATTTATTTTTTCTTTTACGGATTCTTTATGAAATTATAAATAAAAACGATACTTTATTAATTTACTCCTTAAGAATTGTTTTTGCAATTTTACCAATTTTGTTTATATTTTTAAGAAAAAATTATTATTAGTGTAATGAAAATAAAAATAAAAATATAATTTAATTTGTTAATTGACAAATAATTTTTAATAATTATTTCTAGTAATGTAAATAATCAATACATGAAAGCAAAATAATATCAAATGTTAAAAGTACGATGAATTAGGCTAAATTTCACATTTTTTATAAATAAAATTATTTTTTAAAAAAAGAAGAAGAAGAAGAAGAAAAGATGTTAAAAAATTGAAGATTTCAATCAAAGAGAAAAAGTTAAAAAGGAAGAGAGAGAAATGCATTTGGCCCATTTTTATGAAAATGAAACTCAATAATTCACTTGACAAATTCTAAGAAGAGCCTCATACAATTTGTGTCTGTCATATTATATCTATCCCTCATTCATTATAAATTTTTTCCCAATAAATAAATCTAAATTAGTCAAATCAATAAATACTAAATAAAAAATACCTATAATAATAATGAACTTTTTTTGCCTTCTAGAAGCTAATGCCATGTTTAATTTACCCCTTGTATATATTGATGAGTCCTCTATAGTCATTTTCATTTGCTACATTGTAAACAACCGATATTTATATTTATATACTTAAAAATAGTAATAAGAAAAAAAAATGAAGAAATATCTAGCTCGTAATGATATATTAGTATTTTAAAATTTCTATTCAATAAACATCGGTCCCATGTTTCTCTCTACAATTTGTCAATTTGTATGAATTGCAAACATTAAAAAATGTACGTCGGCGAGTGGATCAATTAACTCAAATTATTAGCCCATGTTTGTCTGGTACTTTGGGTTGTGGCGGTGACCGATCTAGAATTTCCATTTAAGAGGTTTGGAAAAAAGTAATCATGTTAATAGTGTCGATAAATTAGCAAGTCGATTTAGATATAAACAGGTCGAATCAAAAACGAGTTTAAATTCAATAAATTTTTA